AGGTAAACAACCCCAGTCGTTCTTTAGCACATGCATTTCCCTTTCTAGGTCTAGAGTCTTCTGTGACCCTCTCTACGTTCCTGCTTCTCCACACTGGAAGTTCTTTCTAGTGCAAAGCACAGCACCAAATCCCTTTCCCAAGAAGCATCCACTGGTTTTCACCTGGGCCAGGGGCCGTTGGGAGGCACTGGTGGGTGATGAGGGGCAGAGCTGGGAGCCCGAGGGCTCTTCTCCTTCTGGACCCGCGCCCTGACCTCCACCCCGGGGATTCAGGCTCCTCCTCATCTTGTTCCTTCCACACTGAATAGACATTGAAGGCTTTCTTTATTCTTCAATTTCCATTTCTAGACTATGCTTACAAAGTCTCATTTCAAGTTTCATTTTTTCAAGAAAAGGAAGTTGTAGAAATAAACTTCTGGATTGTGATCATTAATGGAAATGGAAATGAAATATTCATCCTCGAGACACACGGAGTTGTCATCCACTTAAAGACAACTTAAAAGTTTTCAGCCTCACTGGTTGTTGCTTTCACTGAGGTTCCCCCTCCCGGGGCGCTGCAGTGACCCTGGGTCCAGCATTCTCTCCTTGGTGTGAGGCTGTTTCGTGGATCAGCTGCCCACCCGGGCTGAGACCTTGCTCCGGTCCCTGCAGAGATGATACAGTCTCCTAGGCCACTGTGTTCTGGGCCGATGTGTGGGATGCGTGAGGGAGGGAGGGGCCAGCTGTGCAAGACGGGAGCTTCTGAGTTTGATGGGGTTCAGTTGGGGCTCTGCCCCGATAGTGGGTGTCTGAATTCAGCCATGGTCAGCCTCCTGCAAAACCAGGGGAGAGGCTGAGTGAGCGCGTGTTTGGGCGAATGTGGTCTGTGGAGGAGAGGCCCTAAGCCTCCTACAGATTCTACACCCAGAATATAGCATTTTGCTTCCAGAGATTTCAGTCCGCCGCATATAGTAATCCGCAAACCACTAAGACAGCCCAACCTGAAAAGACACATGGCTTGAAGTAATCTGTCAGGTTCTCAGTCATTGAAAAAAGTCCCAGCAATAACTGAAAAATTGGGGCTTATCTGGGTTTCAGGTGTAGCTTTGGGAGTTTACACCGAGTCTCCCTGTCTGCAAGGGCCCTGCTGCATCAGGGGGTCCCCGGGGGTGCTCTGGGTCCTAAGATGGGGCAGACCCGATTGTTGTCACATAACAGTGTCACCCCCCATGCCCCCGTGGAGCCTTCACAGTTACACTGGGCTGTGTGGGGAAGCCCTCACAGACTCTCGTGGCAGGAATAAGTGACAGCATCCTTCTCTCAGACCAACGCTGAGAGAGTTAACTGTCCATCTCGGCGGCCCAGTGCCCTCCCTGGGAGCTGTTTCTGGAGAAGGCAGACTGCAGGGGTAGAGAGAAAGGCTGCAACCATGTCGTCCTTCTTTCCTGGGAACTTCTTTTCTAAAGCAACTGAACGAGACCTCTGCAGGCGAGGGTGGTGGCCTCTCCTTCAAGAATGCCTGGCCCGTTTCCCAGTGTGAAACATTCCCCAAATATGCAACTTTGTGAGCGTCCCCGCAGCTGAGAGCTGCCTGCCGCCAGGGGAGCTGGCACCCCACAAGGTCGTAGGGGGTGGGGGCATGGCTTTAGGCCCTCAGCAGGCCCTGGGTTTGCCAGATGCCAGGAAGGCCAGCCCCTGGTGACGTTGTCCGCGGAAGAATCTGGCCAACAGTCCGGCCGTGACAAGAGCTTGAGGCTTCTCTCTCTCTCTAAATCCCCTCCTTCATTCAAATCCAATCCTATAAAAAGGCTTTTTGTGGAAGGAGCAGCCATGGCGTCATGGTGCACGTCTGTGTCGTGGCTGTCAGGCTTCCCAAAGATGGACAGAAAGAGCCTCCTCGGTTGACTTCCTGAGCAGGCAGGTCTTAAATGGACTCGGAAGGAGTGGAGGTAAACGGCAGCTTCACGTAGCATCTGTTTTGTGGGCAAGTGGTGAAGCCAGGGAGGAAGGCGCTTCTTGGGCTGGTCAGAAGGCCCTCCAGTGAACGGGGGAGGAAGGGCATGCTGGCAGGTGCTGGGCAGGCCAAGCTGGGAGGGCTGGGCTGCAGCGGAGGGGCTCGGGTAGCAGGGCGGGGACATCGTGCAGATGGGGTGAGAGGGCCGATTCCTTCCTGTCTCTCGGGGAGGGAGGTGCCTCTCTGTGGTCCCTTGCTCAAGTCTACAGAACAGGGTCAGGCCTGCAGCCCCGCCATTGCATTATGCTGCCTGGGCTCTGTGTGCAGGACGCTGTCCCCTCGATAGTGTGCTCTGGGAAGTGACTGCTCACTTCTCCGCGCTCTTGTGCTTTTGCTAATTTGTCTCCACTTGGTGCCTCTGAAGTTCCTACCTAAGCTGTTATTTCAGGAGGCCACGATGGGAGGACCTAGAAAGGGGGCGGTTTTCTGTGCTTTGCCGGTTGTCCTTATATCGTTTGCTTATTTGGTTTGATGTTCTTTTGCTTTGGCTGCGAGCATCAGGCTTGGGTCGTGCTCATAGGAGCGAGCGTGCTCCCACGGCTCAGTGTGGTCCTCTTTCCCAGGCCCGGGCCATCGCCTGCTGGGCTGCAGGACGTTGTGTGTTCTGGAGTCCCTTCGTTTTCAGGCGTTGGGAGGGGAGCACCACACGCCTACTGTTGATTTTACCCTCTTTGATGTGGGTGTTTGGCCACCTTCGTTCTCTTTTCCTCTTTGCTAATATTCTTCTCCTAATGCTTTCTGGCGTCCCGCCTCTGTAAGCACGGCCCTGATTTTATTCCTCTGGGATTCTCCCCAGCTCTTCTTGGTGCTCCATGTCTGTCCTGCATCTGTTTTCCCAAGTCCCAGCTCAGTTACCTGCACCACAGAGCAGCAAGGCGGGGGACTCGAGAGCTGGGCACCCTGGGTCCGAGTCCTGGCGCCAGCGCTGGCTGGCTGTGTGACCGTGGGCGGGCTAATTCTCTTCTTCGTTGTCCTCGCAGTACAGGAGACAATCCTAGTGCCTATGTCCTGGAGCTCTTCCGGGATCAAATGAACTAGTCCATGGGAGGAGGGCGTGGCCAGCGCCATTCTTGTAGAGTTTGGGCTTCTTCCATGTCTCATGTGGGTTTACTGGTTAATATTAGCTGTTAGGAAAGCTAAGACAGTGGAGAACAGGCTTGACAATGTGCGGGGCTAAGTGCTTCAACACACTGCTGTCGCTGTAGTCCTTCTGGTTCTTGATGGTATAAAGGGAGACAGCTCTAATTAAGCTGTGTGCCCTGGCCTGCTTTCTTTTTTTAACTTCTTAATTGAGATACATTCACATACCATACAATTCACCCTTTTAAAGTGGACTGTTCAACAGTTTCTTGGTAAATTGCATTATTAATTTTTTTTGAGTTTTGGTAAAATATATATAAAACATAAAATTTGCCATTTTAGCCATTTTTAAATGTCCAATTCAGTGGCATTAATCACATTCACGGTGTTATGCACCATCACCTCTTTTTCCAAAACTTTTTCATCCCCCCAAACAGAAACTCTGTGCCCATTAAGCAGTGACTCCCCGTTCCGTCTCCCCTCAGCCCCTCGTACCCTCTAATCTGCTCTGTGACTCCATGAACAGCCTATTCCAGATATTACGTGCAAGTGGAATCATGCAGTATTTGTCCTTCCGTGTCTGGCTTCTTTCCCTCAGCATAATGTCCCCAAGGTTCATTCATGTTGTAGCCCGTGTCATGACTTCATTCCTTTTTATGGCTCAGTAAGATTCCATTGCCTGGATAGACCACATTTTGGTTGTCCATTCCTCCATCGGTGGGCCTCTGGGTTGTCTCTACCTTTAGCTATTGTGGAATATGCTGCCGTGAACGCTGGCATACAAGTATCTGTCTGAGTCCCTGCTTTCTCTCCACCTGGGAGTGGAGTGGCTAGGTCATATGGTAATTCTGTTTTAGCTTTGTGAAGAATTGCCCAACTGTCTTTCTGGAACACAGTTGCTTTTTGGTTATTCTCTCCTTTGGTGGCTGTCCCCCTCAGATTCTACTCCATTTTCCCCTGTCTCCCAAGTTTCATTGCGCTTCCAAGCAGCAGACACCTTCTCACCTACCCTCCCAACCTTGTGTCTCCCTCCACCTGGCTGAGGGAACGGGCTCTTCTCTGTCCCTCCCTGACTGGCAGAGCATTTATGGCCCACTCTGGCCGCACATCCGCCTCAGCACTTCACCTCTGTCCGAGGAGGGGAGCCTTTGTAGGTCATCCACAGGCCTCAGTCCACTTGGGCTGGAGGTGGTTTCAGCCGCACGATGTCCCTAAAACCTAAAGTGTGGGAAGTCCGGGATGTGGAGCCAAACCTTGCAGAATTTCAGCCCTCCTTAGCCAGGTCCTTCATCCCCACAACTCCTTGCTTTGTTGTTCTCTGTCAGCCCTGCTTGTCTCAAGGGGCCATGTGGCCGCCCGGTCCAGGGGGGAGTTGTTCTCCGCTCTTCATTTGCTCGCAGTTCCTCCACTTTTCTATGAGCAAGTGAATTAATTAATGAATACCCCAACAGCCTGTACGCCTGCCTCAGACAGCCATTCTGGTTGTTGGGCTAATTGTTAGCCTGGGTTTCTGGATGTCATTCATTTCACAATAAGGCTCCTAATTAATCTCAGCACCGTTCTCACCAGAAGAAAGGCTGGTGCGGAGAAACATCCCCAATTACCATGAGAAAGGAAATGTCAAGAGCCTGTTGAGTTTTCCGGGCATCCACCCCTGTCTCAGATGCAACCCGCCTTCAGCGTACAGAGGCAGCCTGGTGCCCAACCTCGAGAACTAGAGGGTTGTGAGTGCGCGAGGCACGCCAGATCGCCGGACCCAGCTCCGAGGAGCCGGCTGGGGTCCGCACACTCCTGTTTTGTAACGCCGATTGTGTTTCCCAAGACCGTGTGGAGAATCCTGCTGCCGTGGCTCCCAGAAGCAGGCGGGGCAGTGTTAACCCAGAAGAACTAAGGGTCTCCTCTTTTGTCTGTGTTTTTGCGCCTGCAGGACAAAAGATCCTTCATCACCGAAGTGACGTTTTAGAAACAGTGGTCCTGATCAACCCTTCAGATGAAGCGGTCAGCACCGAGGTAAGCACTCGGCTCTGTGGGGTCTTGGGTGGGGCCTTACACAGCGGGGCAGAGACCCAGCAGATCAGAGGGGCTGGGGAGGTGGCGGGAGGACAGGGAGAGAGACGTTCTGGGTCCAGGGACGTTCCTTACCCCCAGTCAGTGGCTGGTTCTCTGCATTGGTACCACCCCAGACTGCCCCTCCCAATGAGGACAAAGCGGAAGACGCTAGCCAGAACGGGAGTATTTGTAGAGGCAATGGGATAGGAGATCCTGGGTATATATGGAGGGTGATGCGGGGGAGTCTGGCTGGGATGCAGCAGGGGAAATAGACCACACGCCCTCAGGCTGGGCCACGGAGAACCCAGGGTTGGAGAAGAGGAGCGTCTCCGACGCAGGCCCCTGCAGAGCCACCCTGCCCACCCCTTGTCACTGTTGAAAGGCAGGATAGCAGAGCGGTCAGGAGCATGGCCTCTGGGGCCACATTGTTACTAGCTGGTGGCCTCGGGCAAGCTGTTTCCTGTCTCTGTCTCGGTCTCCACCTCTGCGAGACAGAGATCACAGCTAATGTTCACGTTCAACGTTGCGACTGGAAGTGTCGAGCGCTTAGAACAGAGTTTGGCACCTAACAGCAGAAATATGAATGTTGGCTCTTCTTATTACCGATATTATTTATTACCATCAGACGGAATTTTTGCTGGAGAGAGTAACGGGGTTTCAGAGCCTACTGTAAGATAAGAACTTGGTGGGAGCTGGGGATCCGTGGTCACCAGGCCAGAGGAGTTGTGGGTCTTCACGTCCCACTTCCTTTATTACATTTGGCGCCTTTGAGATTGAGTGGCTCCTTGGATGTTAAGGTAGCCGGAGTCCCTGGGAGCCTCCAGTAGCTGCCGCATCTCTCCTGCCCATGCTTGGAGCATCTCTGTGACTGTAGTCTGTTTTTTAAAATTGAGATATAATTTACATACCATAAAATCCATCCTTTTAAAGAGTGCAGTTCATTGGTTTTTAGTATCTTCACAAAGTCATGCAATTGTCATCATTATCTCATTCCAGAACATGTCCATCACCCCACAGAAACCCCGACCCCATTAGCAGTCACTCTCCCCAGCCCCAGGCAACCACTAATCTACTTTTTGCCTCTATGGATTTGCCTATTCTGAATATTCCAGATAGTGGAATCATACAATATGTGGCCTTTCGTATCTGGCTTATTTCACTTAGCATAACATTTTTGAGGGTCATCTACCTTATAGCATGTGTCAGGACTTCAAGCCTTTTCATGGCTGAATACTATTCCATTGTCTGGCTAGACCACATTGAGTTCATCCGTTCGTCAGTTGATGGGTATATGGGTGACTCCCACTTTCTGGCTGTCATTATGTAGCCTGTTTAGGTCCCACTTCCATCTGCCCCCATCAGATCCCATGATCCCATTTGACAATCCATGAAGGCACAGGCTGAGGAAAGTGACTGGCCAGCAGTCTCTCCGTGACTAACAGAATCAGGAAGTAGAAACAATTTTAAAGAGCTGGAGGATTAATATTTATCCGGGCGGAGTGCCTGGATCAGTTGTGAGAAATGGTAGGGGGAAAAATGTGGAGTTTCTCTCAGGAATCCAGGCTTGCCTGTGGAGCAGACAGGCTGGAACAGTGACCTCGGTCCTGTGTGTTTCCTTGAGTCACGATGGGGCTCTTGGGGCAGTGGGTTCATGTCCCTGCCTTCATGCCTAGCCCCGTGCCTAGCAGTCAGCTTGTGCGGAACCAAACGGGGCTCAGAGCAAATGTTGCGTTTCTGCTGAAGGACGGGCTGGCTTCCTGCCATGGAAAGAACAGAGAGTGCTTTTGTGCAAATCATTACAGTTCTCTCTGAGTCCCAGTCGGGCCAGCCCTTTATGTTCCACGGGAGGCACCTTGCTGATGCCACTGGAGGCTTCACTTGAGCTTTGTGTTTGGTGTGTGGCTTGGAAGGAAAGGGACCCTGGATGAAGGTGCTGACTTGGGACCCCAGGTACAAATCTGTGTTCCCTGAGCTTATGCCTGGTGCCTCGGCATGTGGGATACTCCTTAGTCCGCAGACTGCCTGCTGTTTGCACACACAGCTGTGGGACACTTGTTACCAGCTGTGGAGACGGCTAGGAAACTAAGACAGAAAGTCAGCTCCCGCTGCTGTTGTGGGTATAGCCAGACGTGGAAAACGGCACTCATGGGCCACTGATGACCACAGGTGTTGGCTGCCGTCCGACTCCCCAGGGGAGTCTGCGTACCGAGGAATGAATGACTTTGTTGGCAATGAACTTGAAGCCCTGCAGGGCGATCCCTGTCTTGAGCCCTGTCTTGAGGGGGATGGCGGTGCCGCCTGCGCTCACGTCCGCTCCCTGTGCTTTGTTTCAGGTGCGTTTGATGATCACTGACGCCGCCCGCCACAAGCTGCTCGTGCTCACGGGACAGTGCTTCGAAAACACCGGAGAGCTCATTCTGCAGTCGGGCTCTTTCTCCTTCCAGAACTTCATAGAGATTTTCACCGATCAAGAGGTGGGCTCCCGTGCGGGACTAGCTGAGCTCTCCCACCGCTCGGTCACTGTTGTGGCCTGAGGCTGCTCTTTGAAAGCTTGGGGGCAGATAGAAGAAGGGGAGGGCGTGTCCCCCTCCTTTGAAACTAGCAAAAGCTGTGGCTGGTGCTTCCGTGCACTGAGGTTCCCTGGCTCATCACCGAAGGAGTTTAGAGCCCTCGTCTTTAACTAATCGGAGCCATTCTTAATGTGCCTGAGATACAGATGGAGGGGGGTTGGAACAATCAGCATTTTACAGATGGCAAAAATGATGGAGAAACTTGAAATGACAGAGCCCAAAAGAAAGCCAAGTTTCCTGTTATCTGAAAGGATTCTCCGAAGATCTCGTGGGTTTTTAGTAACATTTAACTGCCCTGATTTCTTTCCCTACTTGGCCTTACTTTTCCTGGTCTAATTATTTCAGTTTCTCTCACTTTTAATGCCCGGTCCCAATGTTTGAACTTGGAGTGGTTGAACAGTGGAAGAAAGAGAGGACTCGAGAAAGGGAGGCACGTAGGAAAATGGGCCACTTCCGTGAGCCACGTTAACGCCCCAAGAAAAAGATGGGTGAAGTAGGTTGATGAAGCTGGGTCATTAATATTTCTAATGAATAGATCTTATTCAAGGATGATACATGTGAAATATTGAAAACTATATGATGTTAGTGGTATTTTGTAAAATCAAAGGTCAAAGCTTTTAATTTGGTTATTTCTGCTTGAGAATTTATCCCGACTGGGAAACTGCTCTTTCCAAAATAACATTAGTCTTTCTTTTTCTTTGTTAGTTTACAGTAGTTACAGAAACAGTTCAGGGCTGTCACCCATAGCAGGTTGGGGCTGCCCGTAGCTGACAGCACATTTCTACGTGGAAAGGTTGAGGGATGTACTGACAGGAAGAGTTACCACGTCTATTTAAAACCGCCTTCCTGAGAACTTCCTGAGATGGCGGCCTCTTGGTCTCATGGGGGCTGCGAAGGGCCATCTGTCTCTCTGCATCTAATCTTCCTGAGCCCTGTGCTCCGCAGGGAGGCCTCTGTGTGCTCTTCCTCGCTGCGAGAGCTGTAAATACACTGCCCAGCTTCATTTGGCTCACCTGGAGCCTTCTGTAAAAATATAAATGTCGGATGACATGACCACGTTTTATTCTCCACCCACCAGAGGGGAAGGCAAAACGGTGAAAAGGAATGTTTTATGTAGTGTTTGAAAGCTAGACTCTCAGAAGGTGTGATGCCATCTGGGTCTTGAGGCAGGTAGCCTGGCTGCCCACAGCGAGAAGTGGCCCCAGGGCTCACTCCCAGCTGGTCCCCTCTTCACCACTTCAAAATGAAGGTTCCCGCCTGTCTTCCGCCAGGGCTGCCAGAATTCAGGCTGCATGTCTTGTGTCCATTGCACCCACTCATACTAAAGGCCCGTAAATCTGTGTTCAATTGCATGGAAATTCCCAGGCTGGAGCCACAATGCTCACTCCACCTGCTGCCTGGAAATCGTGTGTGATCACTGTAACGTCGGAATCTTTTGCAAGATGGTGTCCCCATGTTCACGTTGTGCCTGGGGGCCCGTGGGCATTTGTCTGGTAGCTCAGGGGTCACAGACACTATCGGCACCTTACCTGGAGAAGGGAGAGAGATGCAGAAGCCTGGACACAGCCCCGTGGCCCAATAACATGGGCGGGTGGCTCACCGGCCTCCTGGTAGGCTTGGCTCCCCGCTGAGCTCCTGGCTCATTTCTGTGCACACCGTGCCTCTCCTGCATCCCCAGGCAGTTCTAAAGTTAGTTGCTACCCCCATGTCATTGGTTTGCCTTTTTTGCACTAAAACCAAATAGAGCAGATATGTAAAAAAAAGGGTTTGTCATTGCCAGAATTTTAAATAAGAAGGTATCACAAGTCATCCATCTCTCTATTTAAATAAAGCATAGCGTTATGAACATTGCTGCTTACATCACTTTTACTGGCCCGCAGAAGTAGAAGTTTGCACAATAGCCTATGCATATATTAGAATTTACCACTAATTGCAGAAGAAAAAGAAACAGCCTTAGCTGCAGAGCGTGAGGTCTGGGCAAGGGCATGTTCCTCGAGTTTGTAATCACTGGAGGGGGTTCTGCAGGGCACACGTTTTCATCACACTCAGGCAGGTGTCGTTAAGGCCAGAGATGCTGTTATCTTCCCCTCTGCCTGCCCCATAGCCCCCAGTACTGTGAAGAAAGTCATGCTCAACACACGTGAGAAAGGACCTCCGGAGTCTTCCCTACAGACTGGCTGCGTGGTGTTGGGGGTGGGGAAGGACGAGCAGCAGGACACTGGGCAGAATTCACTCTTCCTCTTCCCTAACCAGCGCCACTCAGCCTTTATTTTTCTGATGTTGTGGACTTTGGAGAAAGCACATGCCACATTGGAGATGGCTGGAGAGACCAGTGGTGACCAGCCACTGAGCCAGAGCTCTGATTGCCTGTCGCTGCCTTGGAGACAGGGTTTGATCACAGAATGACTCAGTAACAGGGGGCCTCAAAGGCCATTTGGTGTCCAGCTTTGTTCCTTTTATCCAGTGCTTGATACATACTAGTCACTCCAGAGAAATCAGGAACACAATTTGGGAAAAACAAAAATGATATATTTTTTAACAAGAATAGCTAAAAATAAATGGACTGAAAAATAGAATTGTCAGTGCATTTTGAGCTTCGGGTTTTGGGAGTCTTGGTCATTGGAGGTCAACTACAAAACCAGGACTTAGGAATTAGGACAGCATCTGGCTAACTCATCCCTCTCTGAAACCCAAGGATGGTGAAGTCACCATCTCCTGGGGACATTTTTCAGTCTCTCTGGTAGAAAATTTTTCCTTGTTTCTCTTATTGTATCTTCAAGGAAGGAATGTGATCCCTTTTCCACCTGACAGTGTCTTAGACACCCTTCGCCAATGCGGCCAATTGTTTTTTCCTCCAGATTAATCATTTTCAGTTTACCCACTGTTCTTCATAAAACAAGATATTAAAAGTTCTTCCATTCCCTGGTCACTGTCAGTCAGGCCTGTTCCATTGGGGCATGGGATGGGATGGGGGAATCCAGGAGTTCAGTCTCGGTCACGTTTAGTGCCCTGGCTAAACTGCTATCAGACAGGTGGATATGTGAGTCCAGAGCTCAGGGAACTAAAAGTCGGGCTGGAGACATTAATGTGGAAGCCATCAGCATGTGAGAAAACAGATGAAGTGATCTAGGGAGAGAAATATATTCTGAGAGAAAGGGGCCCAGCTGTAGTGTTTAGAGGTTAAGGCCAAGAAGAGCCAGCAATGTCAATTTGTTTGTTTTTGGTCCAGTTTCTGTAAAATGCCATGACTCACACTGGACACCCTACTCCAGGCGTCACTGACCAGGTCAGAATTGTGACAGTCCGTGACTTCTATAGGTTTGAATACAATCTTCTATTAAATAAGTCTAGAAGTTACTTTTGACCATCACCATCCACAATTAAATGTCAACAGGAAGGGATGCAGGCTTTGAGGACCTCTGCAACCTATGTAATTTGGGGGCTCCCTTTAAGAAAAAGAAAACAAAATTATGAATACGCCATTAAGTTCAGGGCTTTGGGGGGAAACCGTGCCAGTGAGGGGCCTTGAAGTTTAAGCTCCATCAGCTTTATGATAAATCCGTCTGCCCGTCAGCTGAAAGCCCTGAGTCTTTTCCAGGGGCATCATTGTTGAGCCACACCTCCCGACCCTGTACTTGACCCAGCTGGTTTACTGGACCTCACCGTCATCCCTTTAGAATGCCATCCTGTTAGAGCTGACTTAGCCGTCATCATTCCCCTGTCAAGAGCTTTTTTAAATGTCTTAACTCTGCCATCCCACCTTTTGCTATGCCTCCCATTTTCATGCCATCTGCAGGTTTGATAAGCATGTCTTCACCATTTTCATCGAAGTCAGTACTCAAGAGGACATAGCTGAGCCCCGAGGCAGCCGCCTTAGACCTACGTCTGGTTGACACTCAGCAGCACGATTTATGTGGCTGGCTACAGATCCACCTAATTCTGCTATCTCACTGTTCAGAGATGCTGTTAGACGTCCTGCTAAAACCCAGAGATACGCTGTCCACTGTATTTCCTCATTAGCCAAGCAAGTAACCTAATCAGAAAAGGAAATGTAGTTAGTGGGCTGCGGTTAGCATTCTAATTTCATTAATATTATCTGCAGTAAAGTCATTTATTTCCCATATCTTCCTTCCTCTTCCAGTATGCCTGCATTTAATTAGAAAAAGTAATTAACAAAAAAGCCAGCCTTTGCCCTGAGGAATATTTCTTCCAGTAGTGTCTCTCATCCCTCTCTGTAAGAACAAGGGGAGGGTGGCAATCAGTGTGCTTGAGAAGGATTAGCAGGCTCGTGTCACTCCCCAAGTGTTCACTCTGGGAGGACAGCATGCATCGAACTGGCCGAGTTCAGTGCAGTTCAGCAAACGTCTGTTGAGCCTGAAGATGTCTTGGAGAAACAAAGATAACGGTGATACAGACAGAAGATGCGTTTCCTGCCCTCCAGGAGCTTTCAGTGGAAGGGGCCATCAGAGGTAGAGGACCTGCTGTGGTGACGATGTCAAGTTGCCTTTGAGGAGGCCTCAGTTTCCGAGTCTAAGACCTAGTGGGAGGTTTGCTCGCACTGCTCACATCCTCGGCTCCTCCCTGTTCACTGAATCAGTGCTGACCCAGTGCCTCCGTGGGCTGGCCACTGTGACACCAGTCTCTACCCCGGGGCCCTCACCCTCTGCATGCGTGCGGGCGGGCCGGTCTGCAAGTGGGCTCTGGGGACGCGGGGCCTCGTTTCTGCCGTACTCCTCCAAGGCTGCCTTCTCCCCCCTCCTCCCTGCCCTGCCCCATCCTCTCCTTCCTGACGGGCTCTCTCCAGCCCCCGTCTCATCATGCACTGTGTGTGGCTGCTTCTCCAGGGGGACTGGATTTCTCTCTGAAGAGAAGCCTTCCAGCAGTGCTGGCTTTCTTTTCTGCTTTCCCTAGGACGTCATGGTTTTCCATCCCCAGCCTCTCTTTGCTGTTTTTCAGTGTACCCCTGACTTCCTCAGAATTCTGTGCAGCCTTGTTTTCTTTTGGGGTCATTTCCTTAGTTTCTTGGAACTCTCTGGGTAGAGGTGAAAAGATGGAAAGTAGGGAGGATTCCTCAAGTCTTTTTACCGTCTCCTTAAACTTAGTGATGACACACTTCACATAAAAAGAGCTGGTAATGGAATGCCCCCCACGCACAGCTGGATCAGACCTTAGCTGCCACATCCTTCAGTTAGGGTGGAATTTCAAAAATTAAAATGAGCTAAACTTAATTTTAAATTTCACTGCTAAAGATTCAGCGGTCTGAGTGATCCTGGACCTCCCCTCTGAAATGTATTCCAAATCATGAATGGTTTGCGTGAGCCCTGCATGAGGACTGGGATGGAGAGAACCTTGGTTGCTATGGTGATGGTGATGAGGGCCTATGCTCATCACTGGACCAGAAACCGCATCCGGTACTCCTCTTTGCTTTGGTCAGCAAATCATTTGAGCGAAGACTCCCCCAAGGACGGTTACCATTTACTTTTTCAGTTTTCTTAGCTTTCAGATAGTGGATTCTTATCCCTTTTGTAGGAGATTGTTAAGTCAGAGGAAAACAGCAAACTCAAAGACTTGTTATTTTGCCATTTTGTGACACTTCACATAAAATGTAGGACAAATAGGCTAACGCAGCAAAAATGGCTATTTTACTGCACTCTAATGCAGGAAAGTCAGAGGCTATAAATTACCCTTCTACACAGACACACCCTGGTAGGCTCAGAATGTTAGTATCCAGGAGGTTGTATGAGACAGAGGAAGCCACTCGCACTAGAAGACAGGAGTTCAGACCTGCTGGCTCAGGATGCCTGGACCAAGTGGAATGCTTGCTTTGCCCTTTCATCATCTGCTGTCCAGGACACAGAGCTCTTTTCACTTGAACCTCTGGGCTGATTTATGTGCTTTGCTGCAACCAAAAGAAGACTAGGGTTTATGGCCTGATCCTTCCTATTTACTAAGCTAAGACTGTGAAACATATGGCCACAGTATGAAGTGAGAAAGAGAAGAGCATTTTCATTAAACCACAATCTGTGTTTTGGTCCGATTTGCTCTTCTGCATTCCCATCCTATGGTACTAAACAACGTGTTGAAAACTTTTGAGCCAGATGTGATCTTAGCCAGCTTGCCCTATAAAGAACAGGAGCTGCGAGAGAACAGAATGTCTCACCTTGGCTTAAACATGAGCGTGTGGGGACAATTTGGCCACTTGCTCATATAATTACCCAATTGCTTTAATCATCATGTCTTCAATTAAGTATTTGTATTTGCAGAGAAACTGCTGGATGAACCACTCTTGCTTTAAATAGTGTGAACTGATGCCAGAACCAGGAATTTCTTACAGTAGTGTGCAATCTATACCTTCCTATCTCCAAGGGGGAAAAATACACCAAACTTTTTTCTTTTGTTCCTGCCGAAATCTATAAATAGATGACACGTGCACTGTCTAAATCCCTTTCATGTGTCAGTCAGGCCCTTTTGCCAAGCCCAGTGGAATAGAAGAGAATATTTTATATCAGTGGTGAAATGACTCACATAGCCTGCCCCAGTGACAGTTTAATATTTTTTAAAGGGCGTTTTTGCATGGCCAGTACCCAGGGGGGATAGAGGCACAGGCACTGGTCATGCAGATGGTCACTGGTCTTAGAACTAAAGCAGAGTGCTGGAGTTCCCCTTCTGGGCCGGAACAGATCCGGGAGGGCTCTCAGGGGAGGTGCTGGCACGGAGGGGTGGTTGAGGCAGAAAGGTGCAGTCGAGGGGTGAGGACAGGCTGTTCACCTACCAGTGTGGAATATTTCAGCGTTGACCCAACCAGCATCTCGGAAATCAGCCCCACGTGCATCCATTGATTCTACAACATCTAGTAATAGATGGAGATGATCAGTGATGACAGTCACTTAAACCTTTTCCTACTTTCTTTCTTATTATTTTTTTAAATCCCAGATTGGGGAATTACTGAGCACGACCCATCCTGCCAACAAAGCCAGCTTAACCCTGTTCTGTCCCGAAGAAGGGGACTGGAAGAACTCCAATCTTGACAGACACAATCTCCAAGACTTCATCAATATTAAACTCAACTCAGCTTCTATATTGCCGGAAATGGAAGGACTTTCCGAGTTTACGGAGTATCTCTCGGAGTCAGTGGAAGTCCCATCTCCCTTTGATATCCTAGAACCTCCCACATCGGGTGGGTTCCTAAAGCTCTCTAAGCCTTGTTGTTACATTTTTCCCGGAGGGAGGGGCGATTCTGCGTTGTTCGCAGTGAATGGATTCAATATGCTCATCAACGGAGGATCAGAAAGGAAATCCTGCTTCTGGAAGCTCATCCGACACTTGGACAGAGTGGACTCCATCCTGCTCACCCACATTGGGGATGACAATTTGCCTGGAATAAACAGCATGCTACAGCGGAAAATTGCAGAGCTCGAGGAAGAACAGTCCCAGGGCTCCACCACAAATAGTGACTGGATGAAAAACCTCATCTCCCCTGACTTAGGAGTTGTATTTCTCAATGTACCCGAAAATCTGAAAAACCCAGAGCCAAACATCAAGATGAAGAGAAGCACAGAAGAAGCTTGCTTCACTCTCCAGTACCTAAACAAATTGTCCATGAAGCCGGAGCCTCTATTCAGAAGTGTTGGCAATACCATTGATCCCGTCATTCTTTTCCAAAAAATGGGAGTTGGTAAACTTGAGATGTACGTGCTTAACCCAGTCAAGAACAGCAAGGAAATGCAGTATTTTATGCAGCAGTGGACCGGCACCAACAAAGACAAGGCTGAACTAACCCTGCCTAATGGCCAAGAGATAGATATCCCGATTTCCTGCCTAACTTCAGTCTCCTCTTTGATTGTCTGGCACCCAGCAAACCCTGCGGAGAAAATCATCCGTGTCCTGTTTCCAGGCAACAGTACCCAATACAATATCCTGGAAGGACTGGAAAAGCTCAAACATTTAGACTTCCTGAAACAGCCGCTGGCCACCCAGAAGGATCTAACTGGCCAGGTGGCCACTCCTACTGTGAAACAAGTAAAGCTGAAACAGAGAGCCGACAGCCGAGAAAGTCTGAAGCCAGCCACAAAACCACTTCCCAGCAAATCTGTGCGAAAGGAGTCTAAAGAAGAAACCCCTGAAGTCACAAAAGCCAATCATGTGGAAAAGCCACCCAAAGTTGAAAGCAAAGAAAAGGTAACAGTGAAAAAAGACAAGCCAGTGAAAACAGAGACCAAACCTCCAGTGGCCGAAAAGGAGGTACCCAGCAAAGAAGAAGTGCCTCCAGTGAAGGCCGAGGGGGCTGACAAGCAAGGCACAGATGTCAAACCCAAAGTCGCCAAGGAGAAGACGGTGAAAAAGGAAACAAAGGCAAAACCTGAAGAAAAGAAAGAGGAGAAGGAAAAGCCAAAGAAAGAAGTCGCGAAAAAGGAGGACAAAACACCTGTCAAGAAGGAGGAAAAACCAAAAAAAGAAGAGGTGAAAAAGGAGGTGAAAAAGGAAGTCAAGAAAGAGGAGAAAAAAGAAGTCAAGAAAGAGGTTAAGAAGGAAACCCCCCTGAAGGAAGCCAAGAAGGAAGTTAAGAAGGAAGAAAAGAAGGAAATTAAAAAGGAAGAAAAGGAGCCCAAAAAAGAAATTAAGAAAGTTCCTAAAGATTCAAAGAAATCAACAACTCCTGTATCCGAAGCAAAAAAACCAGCCGCATTAAAACCAAAAGTACCGAAGAAGGAAGAGCCTGTCAAGAAAGAGTCTGTTGCTGCCGGGAAGCCAAAGGAGAAGGGGAAAGTTAAGGTCGTTAAGAAGGAGGGCAAGGCGGCAGAGGCTGCGGTGGCCGCTGTCGGCACTGTGGCCACCGCAGCAGCTGTGGCAGCAGCAGCTGGAATAGCAACCACTGGTCCTGCCAAAGAGCTCGAAGCTGAGAGGTCCCTTATGTCCTCCCCTGAGGATCTGACCAAGGACTTTGAAGAGTTAAAGGCTGAAGAAGTCGACGTAGCAAGAGACATGAAGCCTCAGCTGGAGCTGATTGAAGACGAGGAGAAGCTGAAGGAGACCGAGCCAGTCGAAGCCTATGTCATCCAGAAAGAGACGGAAGTCATCAAAGGTCCTGCTGAGTCCCCGGATGAGGGCATCACCACCACCGAAGGGGAGGGTGAATGTGAGCAGACCCCCGAGGAGCTAGAGCCAGTCGAGAAGCAGGGGGTGGACGACATCGAAAAATTTGAAGACGAAGGAGCAGGTTTTGAAGAATCCTCAGAGGCTGGAGACTACGAAGAGAAGGCAGAAACTGAGGAGGCTGAGGAGCCAGAAGAAGACGGTGAAGAAACCGTGTGCGTGAGCACCTCCAAGCACAGCCCCGTGGAGGAGGAGGAGGAAAGCACGAAGGCCGAGGCCGACGTGCACATCAAGGAGAAGAGGGAGTCTGTGACCAGTGGTGATGACCGAGCGGAAGAAGACATGGACGAGGCAGTGGAGAAAGGAGAAGCTGAACAATCTGAAGAGGAGGCTGATGAGGAGGACAGAACCGAGGATGCCAGAGAGGAAGAATATGAGCCTGAAAAAGTCGAAGCTGAAGATTATGTGATGGCCGTGGTGGACAAGGCTGCGGAGGCTGGTGGTGCTGAGGATCAGTATGGATTCCTGACCACCTCAGCCAAGCCACTGGGAGCCCAGTCTCCTGCCCGAGAACCTGCGTCTTCAATTCACGATGAGACTTTACCTGGAGGCTCGGAGAGTGAGGCCACCGCTTCCGATGAGGAGAATCGAGAAGACCAGCCTGAAGAATTCACTGCCACCTCCGGCTACACTCAGTCTACCATTGAGATATCCAGTGAGCCCACCCCAATGGATGAGATGTCTACTCCTCGCGACGTGATGAGTGATGAGACCAACAATGAAGAGACAGAGTCCCCATCTCAAGAATTTGTAAACATCACCAAATTTGAGTCTTCACTGTATTCTCAGGAATACTCCAAACCTGCTGTTACATCACTCAATGGATTATCCGAAGGGTCAAAAACAGATGCCACTGACGGCAAGGATTACAATGCCTCAGCCTCCACCATCTCACCACCCTCATCCATGGAGGAAGACAAATTTATCAAATCAGCTCTCCGTGATGCTTACTGCTCTGAAGAGCAAGACGTGAAAGCCAGTGCCACGTTGGAGATCAAAGACACCGTCTCAGCAGTTTCAGATGAAAAACTTAGTCCGTCCAAGAGCCCGTCGCTGAGTCCATCTCCGCCGTCACCCATAGAGAAGACTCCTCTGGGTGAACGCAGTGTGAACTTTTCTCTGACACCCAATGAGATTCAAGTCTCAGCAGAGGCGGAAGCAGTCCCAGTGTCTCCTGAAGTGACCCAAGAAGTAGTTGAAGAACAATGTGCTAGCCCTGAGGAGAAGACCCTGGAAGTGGTGTCTCCATCTCAGTCTGTGACTGGCAGTGCTGGCCACACACCTTACTACCAGTCTCCCACCGAGGAGAAATCTAGTCACCTCCCCACAGAAGTCATTGAAAAAGCACCAGCAGTTCCAGTGAGTTTTGAATTCAGTGAAGCCAAAGATGACAGTGAACGGGCTTCCATAAGCCCCATGGATGAACCTGTGCCTGACTCGGAGTCTCCTATTGAAAAAGTGTTGTCTCCCTTACGGAGCCCTCCCCTAATTGGATCCGAGTCTGCATATGACAGTTTCCTCAGTGCTGACGACAAGGCTCCTGTTAGAGGTCCTGAAAGCCCCTTTGAAGGAAAGAATGGAAAACAAGACTTTCCAGACCAAATAAGTCCAGTTTCAGATACGACTTCCACTGGTCTTTTCCAAGACAAACAGGAAGGGAAAAGCACGGACTTTATACCGATCAAGGAAGACTTTGGTCAAGAAAAGAAAACTGACGATATTGAAGCCATGAGTTCTCAAGCCGGACTGGCCTTCGATGAAAGGAAGTTAGGAGGAGATGTTTCTCCTTCACAAATAGATGTCAGTCAGTTTGGCTCTTTGAAGGAAGACACTAAGATGTCCATTTCCGAAGGCACTGTCTCAGACAAGTCAGCTACTCCTGTCGATGAAGGGGTAGCGGAAGACACATACTCCCATATGGAGGGCGTGGCCTCCGTCTCCACCGCCTCCGTGGCAACAAGCTCCTTTCCAGAGCCAACAACAGATGACGTGTCTCCTTCCCTGCACGCTGAGGTGGGCTCCCCACATTCCACGGAAGTGGACGACTCCCTGTCAGTGTCCGTCGTGCAGACGCCTACCACTTTCCAGGAAACGGAAATGTCTCCGTCTAAAGAGGAGTGCCCAAGACCAATGTCCATTTCTCCACCGGACTTCTCCCCTAAAACAGCCAAATCCAGGACACCAGTTCAAGACCACCGATCTGAACAATCTTCCATGTCCATTGAATTTGGCCAAGAATCCCCTGAGCATTCCCTCGCCATGGACTTCAGTCGTCAGTCTCCAGATCAGCCTACGGTGGGTGCGGGTATGCTTCACATCACTGAGAATGGGCCAACCGAGGTGGACTACAGTCCTTCTGACCTGCAGGACTCCAGTTTATCACACAAGATACCGCCAACGGAGGAGCCGTCCTACACCCAGGATAACGACCTTTCGGAGCTCATCTCAGTGTCTCAGGTCGAGGCCTCCCCATCCACCTCTTCCGCACACACCCCTTCTCAGATAGCTTCTCCTCTCCAAGAAGACACTCTATCCGATGTCGTTCCTCCCAGAGATATATCCTTATATGCCTCGCTCACCTCTGAAAAAGTGCAAAGTCTGGAAGGAGAGAAGCTCTCCCCAAAATCCGATATCTCTCCACTCACCCCAAGAGAGTCCTCTCCTTTATACTCACCTAGTTTCTCAGATTCTACCTCTGCAGTCAAAGAGAGCATAGCAGCGTGCCACACTCCGTCTCCTCCGCCAACAGATGCAGCATCTGCAGAGCCCTACGGCTTCCGTGCCTCCATGTTATTTGATACGATGCAACACCATCTGGCCTTGAGCAGAGATTTGACCACATCTGGCGTGGAGAAGGACAGTGGAGGGAAGACCCCTGGTGACTTCAGCTATGCCTATCAAAAGCCTGAGCAAACAACCAGGTCCCCAGATGAAGAAGGTTACGACTATGAGTCTTACGAGAAAACCGCCCGGACCCCAGATGTGAGTGGCTATTACTATGAGAAGACAGATATAACCACAAAATCTCCAAGTGACAGCAGCTACCCCTATGAGACCATTGAGAAAACCACCGAGAGTCCTGAAGATGGTGGCTATGCCTATGAAATTACTGGAAAGACCACACGGACCCCCGAAGAGGGTGGGTACTCCTATGAGATAAGTGAAAAGACGATCAGGACCCCTGAAGTGAGTGGCTACAGCTATGAAAAGACTGAGAGGTCTAGAAAGCTCCTGGATGACATCAGCAATGGCTATGATGACTCCGAAAACGGTGGCCACACACTTGGGGATTCCAGCTACTCTTATGAGACCACAGAGAAAGTTGCCAGTTTCCCCGAGTCTGAAAGTTATTCCTACGAGACATCTACTGCCACTGCACGATCCCCTGATGCTCCCACGTACGGTTATGAGACTGCAGAGAGAATCCCTGGGACCCCCCAGGCGTCCGCATACGCCTATGAGACTTCAGACCAGTGCTACACGGCAGAAAAGAAGTCCCCCTCAGAGGCTCGCCAGGATGTCGACTTGTGCCTAGTGTCCTCCTGTGAATACAAGCACCCCAAGACAGAGCTGTCGCCCTCCTTCATCAATCCGAATCCTCTCGAGTGGTTTGCCAGCGAAGAGCCGACGGAAGAATCCGAGAAGCCCCTCACCCAGTCAGGGGCAGCCCCGCCGCCTCCAGGAGGAAAGCCGCAGGGGCGACAGTGTGATGAAACCCCTCCCACCTCTGTCAGCGAGTCAGCCCCATCCCAGACTGACTCCGATGTGCCCCCGGAGACTGAAGAGTGCCCCTCCATCACAGCCGATGCAAATATCGACTCTGAAGATGAATCGGAAACCATCCCCACAGACAAAACCGTCACGTACAAACACATGGACCCCCCTCCGGCCCCCATGCAGGACCGCAGCCCTTCTCCGCGCCACCCCGACGTGTCCATGATGGACCCGGAGGCCTTGGCCATTGAGCAGAACCTGGGCAAAGCTCTGAAGAAAGACCTGAAAGAGAAGACCAAAACCAAAAAGCCAGGTACAAAGACCAAGTCGTCGTCACCTGTTAAGAAGGCCGATGGGAAGTCCAAGCCCTCTGCGGCTTCGCCCAAGCCAGCCGGCTTGAAAGAGTCCTCAGACAAGGTGTCCAGGGTGGCTTCTCCCAAGAAGAAAGAATCTGTGGAAAAAGCCACGAAAACCGCCCCGACTCCCGAGGTCAAAGCTGCACGTGGGGAAGAGAAAGACAAGGAGACGAAGAACGCCGCCAACACCTCCACGTCCAAGTCGGTGAAGACCGCGACAGCAGGTAGGTGGCAGGGCTGGCCTCCAGACACAGGCCGTGGCTACGCTGCTTTTAAGTGGAGCCTCTCAACTTCCACTGACCTTGTGCCAGGGAGGTGAGAGGGCGCAACTCGCTGCTGTCCGTCCCCTTTACTATTCTTTTCTGCTAGAAGTTACGGATCTCAGCCCGACGTGGCCCTTGGGCTTGGGGATAGCTCAGCCTACGGCCCAGACAGCTCTGATGCACCAGATGCCGCTCCTGGGTCTGTTCCATTCCGCAGCCCGGCAGCCACGGCCTCGTTCTGAGTCTTCAGAACCAAAGGCTGTGTTTCATTCTCCTCTGGAAGACTATGCAGTGCTGGCTTTAGCCACACTGGCCCCAGAATCAAGCTGAGGTGACCCAGGCCAGCTCCCAAAGGCCTAGGGAGAACCCGAGTTCCAAATCAAGCCTGGGATGACCAGTGTAGGCCCAAGATTGAGGTTCTGTTTCTTTTATAAAATTCTTTTTAAATAGTTATAACATTTTAAAGTTAAAAATTGTAAAGTTTTTAATTAAAAAAAAAAGTCATCAGACTGGAGATGCGTCCCCATTAGAGGCAGTGCTGTGCTTTTCTGCCACCGAAGAGCATCATTTCAGTTGACCAGTGGGTACCCGGCACATGGGAGGCTCTCCCGACCCCCTCCTGCCCCAGCCTCACTGAGAGACACAGAACCCGGATTCAGATGGAAAGTCCGCTTGGCAGGAGCAGACGTCTCTGACTGCTGAGCAGTCCCATTTCGGTCCTGATTCCCAGATTTGTCAGGCTCTCAGCAGTCATCTGGGTTTTTGACGGCCCAGCCTCATCTTGTTGCTTCAGACCAGTCAGAGGGACTTGCATCAACACATTTTATTCACTTTACATACTTGTTCAGGTTATGTTGTTACAAACTAACATAAATTGGCCCAAATGTGTAAAGCAAAAAATAAGTAAAATTTCCTTGATTTATTAGGGTAAATCTGATAAATGAACCTTTGGGACTTTCAAATTCAGTACATTTTAGGAAGTATTAGTTACAGCTGCAAATTTTTACTTTAAGTAACATGGATCATCAATTTCAAGACAATTCTCAGATTTCCTCTTTTTACACACATGTGGAAGACAAACTGAATTTGTTCACGCTTAGAATTAATGGAAACCCACCAGATAATTAACCCCTTGGTCTGAAAGAGCTGACGACTGACCTGCACTTAGGAGAAAAATGAAACCATCCAAACAGATGAAAACCAACTGAAATTGGCTACGAAACTTGCCAAGTATACACTAGCCCACACGATTGATTTTTTTAAAACACTTTTTGTCATTTAAAGAGAGAATTTTAAGGCAAGGTAAGGAAAATGAGTTGGTCTAAATTTACTTGGAAGATGCTTTTCCAGTAGGTTTCTAAAAAGACAAAACTGCACCGTTGATTGACTTTTAAGACCAGCCTGGGTCGACTTCTGGCAGCTCCCGTCGTGCTTCTGTGAGAAGCCCTCCTTTGCTCCTTTGGTGTGGATGGGAGGGATGTTGTGTGTAAGGGAAAGCGGCAGAGATTTTTAATTAGAAGAAATGTAACTCGCAAACTTCCACGTGTTAGAGTTCTGTGCAAAGGACAGAATCAGCATTTCATCAGTTTATGAAGGAGGTTAAGGAGCTGAAGGCCTTGGAAATCAGATGAAGTTAAGATCTGGCCGTTGACCAGGTCAAATGTTAGGGTATAGTATTCAGCTGTGGGCAAAAGTGCTCTTAAATAAGGTCCTGACATGGATTACCGACTGCTGAACTATGGTTACCAAATGCAGATGCTTCCTTTGCCTTTTAAAATCTGTTTCTTAGATCACCTTTCAAATTAAGATACACACTAGTAGCCCTTTTAGGAAGCGTATTACTATCTAGTTCCATCTTTTGGGAGGGCCTTGAAACTCTTCCTACTTCCTAATGGGTTGTCCCCGAAGGGAGACCATCCCATTCTTCGTTTCTCCTGTTGGCGTGGTGAACCACCATGTTGTTTCCTCAGATTGCCAGAGGGAAGTGCCGGGTCCCTCCTCTGTGTCTCCTAGAGGGACCTTCCTGTGCACGAGCACAAATGGGTCTCTTCGCATTCCTGTGACCCGGCTTTCTCTGCTTTTGTTTATTTACCAAAGGACCAGGGACCACCAAGACGGCCAAGCCCTCCGCTGTGCCCCCAGGCCCCCCTGTGTACTTGGACCTGTGCTATATTCCCAACCACAGCAACAGTAAGAATGTTGATGTCGAGTTTTTCAAGAGAGTGAGGTCGTCCTACTACGTGGTGAGTGGGAATGACCCCGCTGCCGAGGAGCCCAGCCGGGCTGTCCTGGATGCCTTGTTGGAAGGGAAGGCCCAGTGGGGCAGCAACATGCAGGTAAGAGCTCCAGGCCTGTGTCTGCACTTCATGTGGAGCTGTGTCCAGAGGCAGAGGGAAGGATTATGTTTATGATAATAGGGTAATGTTTATGATAAATAGAGGCAACGTTATGATTGTGGGTCCACATGAGGTGCCCCAGGGGTCTGTCACACGGGAAACATCCTGGGGACAGAGTGGATTTAACATGTAGAAGATAGTCTAGAATATTCTTGGCACTGCCAGTAATTACAGACTTGGAGGAAAAGGCCCTTCACCACCCTGAGGCATAATTCATTTATCTGAAAAATGGGCCCAAGACTACTTGCCCTTCACCCTAATACACCAAGAGTACATGTGTATGAACCAAAGCGGTCATATCTCCCGCGAGAGCTGCTAAGGGCTTGTCTTTCCTCCTTGGTGTTTCACGATTGACCAAAGCCAGGAATATGGCCATTTAGAAAATCAGCTGTCCATGTGAAATCCAGGAGCAATGCTGAAAACGGGCCCCAACAGGACACCCCCAACTCCCACACATCATGACCGGCCACGAACCACTCGCTCTTTCAGCTATGATTTTTGCTTAGCAGAATTTTACTTGTGGTTCTGTATAGTCGCCTAGTCAAATGTGTTTGCATAACGTTAAATAGAATTACTTGTTATTTAATCATATGAAATCGAATGAGAAGCACCCAGCGGCCTCTTAATGAATACTAGATGGAATTTTTACTATTCAAGCCAGCACCCAATCACCTACCCCACTCCTCCATCCCCAACCATACACACAAATCGGAGGTACGAGTCTTTGTTCTCAGGATGAAATGTTACTTACACACAACTAGAGGGGTTTGAGCTTCAGTAATAACTAAAGATCGGTGGATTCCATATGCAAGATCTTGAGTGCAAGCTGACTGGTTGTGTTAAAGGAAATAAAAGAAATTCCACGTTACCTGAGTACTTCTTCTCTTGACACTAAAGAATTGAAAAACCAACAGTGAATATAGATGAACTAATTGACTAGTCATGAGTTGCTTTTGGCCCTAATCTTCAACTCCCCCAGGAAAACTAATTTTTTTGCAGCTTTATTCTGGTTCCTGGAAAATGTAAGTTGAAAAGTCCTTTGTATTTCTTAAGGAAAATAGAAGATTTTTCTTTCTTTTCCCTTCTTCTTCTAATGGTCTCATTAATACCTCGTTGTTCCATTTTTTCATCTGATTTCTGGCTCTGCCCTTAAACAGCTATTTTCCATCTCCCTGCAGGTGACTTTGATCCCTACTCATGACTCAGAAGTGATGCGGGAGTGGTACCAGGAGACCCACGAGAAGCAGCAGGACCTCAGCATCATGGTCCTGGCGAGCAGCAGCACGGTGGTGATGCAGGACGAGTCCTTCCCTGCGTGCAAGATTGAGCTGTAGACGCCGCGGCCAGCCACGCCACAGGAGCTGAACTTTGTTTCCAGAAATTCTTCACTTTGAAACCACCTTTTCTAAAAAGTCAATTCATCTAAACAAGTCACTGAACTGTTACCTGCCAAACGCTATACTGTATCACGGTGATGCAAGTCACTAATATTTCTCAGTTTTTGCTGATTGCTAAGGGAAGTAACAGTATTCCCACAATAGGGTTCAAGTTACTGCAAAATTACCTACCCCAGTTCATCTCTGCCGAACATTTGGAAACCATGCACTAGCAAACCCAGCTGACTTCTGCTAGGTAGAGGCGTTTGTCTTAGAGAGAGAGTGAGAGAGAGAGCGCGCAAAGAAAGAGATGCGGGGGGAGAGAGAGAGAGAGAGAGAGAGGGAATGAGGAAGAAAAGGAATGCGAGAGAAGGCGATGGAATGGTGGAGTGCTGGTGAGACACCCAGAGAGAGAGAGCAGGGTGCGGTAAGGGGGAGAAAACAGCCAACCACTGGTCTGCGTTTTCTCAGGCAGTGTGTGTTTTGGTCTACACAGGCAGAGGTTTCCACGTGTGTCAGTCTGAGTCCTCAAAAAGGATCTTAATTTTCTAAAACAAGTCGGCTGGAAGAAAACAAAAAGAACAAAACTCGTCATGAGGGCATGGGAGATTTTCATGCCTTAATTAAGCTCCTTCTGTTTGAAGGCTGCACACTGACATAACACAGTGAGTAGACTGGACATGCAAGTGGTTTGAACCCCATTCAGAACGCTCAGACTCTTCAGACACGCGAGTCGACTGGTCTAAGGCATGCTCCCAGCACTTGCGCACCCAGGTAGTCCACTCGAGTCCATTCACCTGCATGCGGAAACACCCAAGTCCACCCCAATTCACAAGCAAATACCAAAGCAGTTGGGAGTACACACAGTGGACAGTTGCCTTAGGAAGTGACTTGAATGTACAAAGATACTTGATGCACTTATTTTTTAATGTGAGACAGCAAGTTTATAAAACATCCGTGTAGGATTGTAGATACTCCAGTGGAAGGAGCATGTGTGCGTGCGTGGGGGGCTAGAAGCTGATCTGATGGGCACAGCGCTTGCTAGGATGCTGAGTCATGGGTGTCGAATGCTGAGTCATGCGTGTCGAATGCCGCCGCAGTGCACCCGCGGCCCCTCAGCCAAACCAGCGGAGCCTTTCGCAGCTTCTTCACTACTGCAAGTTCAAGACTGAAAGGGCGTCTACGATCAGAACTGGGCAAACAGTGAATCTTAGGGTGGACGAGGTTCTCGGCAAGTGTACAGAATTTACCTTCCTGTGTCTTACATTGGCTTTTTTTTTTAAATCTTCCATTAATTTCAGCATAATTATGGGAACAAGTGTACAGAAGAATTTTTTTTTAGCTATGTGAGAATTTTCATAGATGAACTTTTTAACAAATGTTTTCATTTACAGGAAAATGCAAAGAAAATTTTCAAGTGACAGTCTTTTTTTTTTTAAGTGTTTCGTAAGACAAAAAAAAAGAATACTGTTTTTTTGAAGTTCTGGTGAGATTGAAGTCTGACATTTGCAGTAATAATATTTATTAAAAGCCCATAACTACCAGGAATAGTGACACCTCCCACCCCTCGATTCCCATAACACGAAATCTGAGTATGCGCTGTTTGAGAGTGGGGCGAACGGCATGGCAGGCTACTTTTCCAGGCCTTTGCAAGTCCATCACCCAGGGGTGTCCTACAGACTTCTTGCAAGATCTTCAGCCATGAGGTGAAAGAGCCAAGACAAAGAACCACGTTCAAAGAACCTTAGCGAGAATTTGCTTTGGGGTTTCCTTTTCTGGAAAAAAAACAAGAGAAATAATACATTGAAAGCAAATGAGTTCCCACCTCTTCCGGTTCCCCATGTGGAGTTCAGAGATCATTTCCTGCATTGTCACCGCTGAACGAGGAACCTGGGCAGCCAGGGCGTGATTTAGACTCTCGCCGAGTGTGCAGTGCAGATCCGCGTGCCGGCGTTCAGACGGGCACTCTTCCCGGTGGCAGCCACGCCGTGCTGTCACATTGCATTTCTTGCAGACTCTAAATCTACGGAGTAGTGAACAACGACCTCATTTTATTTTCTATGTTAGTTATTTATTTCAAAATTAACGTTTTAGTTTATTTTTGTCTGATAAGTGTATGTTTTGCACTGCTAACTACCATGAGGGTTTAAACAACGCTTCTTCGGGGTCCCTTCACTGAGGACCTATGTAGTCTACTTAATGCTGTGAATTACATTTTTCAAATGTTTAATTTTTTAAAAGAATTAATATTCTATTTTTTCTTTTAGGCTTCTCTAGAAATGCAGCTTTTATTTATTACCCCATTTCTTTCAAGTAAGTCCTTAAAAACAACACATTGATTAAGGGTACAAAAAGTTAGCACACGATGGAAAACTCATTGTGACACAAATGGATTTCAGTGAGTATAAACTGATCTGCCTCAGATTTATTTTATGAGACAACCTAAGATATTCAACATAGTTATTTAATGATTAGTTGTTAAGTTGGTCCACATACTACATGGGAAGAGAGACAGGTTTCCAGCCTTCTTGCCAAATCCAGACCCCTGGCTGATTTTTCTTTGATAGAAGATGGAATTATTGTCCAATTTCCCAAATTAAATTTATTTAACATGTACATTATTTTGCTTTAAAAAAATACAAATGTTTTAGGAAAATTATATCCAGTCTTCAAATATAACCATTCTATCCCACTCTTTTTTTTTTTTTCTTTTCTTTTCTTTTCTTTTTTGCTATGGGATTTAATGGGAAAGATAGACAAACCTGTCAGTGCTCAGCCGGCTTTCTTCCACTGAGACAGAGCAGCACCTTTCTCCATCTGCTGTTCTCAGTGCCGAGCACAGAGCCTGAGTCTACCAGGAAAACCAACATTTGCAGTACAGGTTGTTCCTGTGCTTCCAGACCCCTTTCCTACCTGTGTGACTAACCTAATTTTGCTAGTTCCATCAGTACACAATTAGTTTGCCCACAGCATCACAATGGACCATGAACATTCATGGTGAGACCTAGAGATTGACACAGACTTCTAGGAGCTCAGTTCATATCGATCACTTCATCCAGTTGTATAGATTGAATTTTGGAGTGGAAGGAGTTTACACTCTGTTTAACTGATGGCATTCCATGGAGGTAGCACTCCTGGTCATGACCTTTTTGGTAGTATTCTTAAACAAAATTCCAGAGACTAAATGTTAGCGATGATCCTCCATTTTCAATTTTAACTAATTCTATCCCCTTTCTCAAAACCCAACCCCTGTGCATGCTTTCTCAGTCTCGTGGTGGACTGGGTACAATGACTGACTACCCCCCAAATGCCATTTTCCATGGAGTTCAAAAAATTTTTTTGTCTTAACCTTGCATATCATAGTGAATGGTTTCCCCAGTGTATATGAGTGTTTTAAGTGTCTCCAGTAGCTTACAGGGTTTAGGAGCTTTCCAATACTCACGTCATAAGATTTAATCATTTGCTAATGGAAATGTTACCACCTTCCATTTCCCCTTTATTACCAAATTCCGGCTCTCAGGAGCTGCTCCACAATTCTGAAATTGCTTTTCTTGATTCTCTTTAGTTGCCTGTTCACAAGAGGTTCTTGCTCAGTAATGATATTGTGAGTTAGATTAATAACTTTTTTTTGCGCTTCAGATTTAGAAGAAAAGATCCTGTTTCCATTCGAAAGGAACTGTAAGCTTTGATCTTTTAACCAACTGAACAACACACCAAAAGCAGCCCCGGGATGAGCATTTTTTGGAAAGCAATTAGGTTACTCACCTGGTATTAAAGCTGTTTACTACTAAGAAAATATCTGACTTTAAGTTAAAAGGCAGCATCAAAAACTGAAAAGGGAAAAAATAAATAGCTTCTCTGTACTCGTTCGGAGCTCCCCGAAACAGGAGCCGTGGAGAGGAGGCGTCGAGACCCGGCTGCCCTTGGGGACCACCCTGTGCTCCAGAGGCGTGCTCGCTGCCCGAGCACTCAGCACCTCTCCCCCGGCCCTGGAAAGACGTGGTGGAGCCCGCGGAGCAGCACCTCCCACTCCTCTCTCTTGTTCTGAATGGTGTTTGTGTCAGTCTGCAGCTGTGTATGGTATTATGTCTTATAATCCTGCATCACTTCTAGCCTATCCAGTCATATCTAATGTAGAAAATTAGTTTCCAGTGAAAGTAATATGTAGTGCTTTTATGATATTTGTGTGCAATATCCCCTCTTCCATTGAGGATATTTGATGTAAAAGAAAAAAAACTCAGTTCCACAATAAAATACAAAAGTGGCAAAAGCTAACGTGTGTGCCGGCTGCCTTTCGTTTTGAGTCCCTGAGTTGGGCTCATGGGGAGTTGGGGTTTGCCACCCCCAGAGGGAGGGGGCGGCGCGGCTTCATGCATGTGGGCTGACTGTGTTCTTTTCAGGGTGGGCTCCGGGCTTTTGGCAAACTGAGGAGAGGGTTCTGCTACTATTTCTATGCTTGCAACCTCATTATCTTTTATAACCAAGCCCTAGAGGACGCTGGGGCCTAATGACAGAAAATGGGAGAGAAGAGAAAGAGACCATTAAAATTATTGCTTAAAAAGAAAAAGTAAATAGACCACTGTAGTTGGAAGAGGAAACTGGGAGGGTTTCCTGCATGAACCACAATATAAACCCCAAACCGGGTCTTGATCCCAGCTCTGCCACACCGGCTGCGAGACCTCAGTCACTTTTTCCATCCAGAGTCCCTTTTCTCATCGGTGAAATGAGAGGACTTGACAAGATGGTCAAGCTGGATGGTCCCTCCCAAGGCCGACTTTCTGGGGCCACCATATTAAGTAATAACATCCAACACCTTATCTTCCTCCTGGTTTCTTGCTCAGTTACAGAACAAGCTCCATATAACTAACATAGTAGCCGAGGATTTGACTGACGCCAGGAACTAAAAGCATTAAGGAAAATGATGATAAATAACAAAGTTCCTGTAAAAAGGAGGAAATCCTCTTAGTCAATCAAATGATTTCTGTGCCTGTACTCTACCCCACGGAGGGAAATAGTGCGGGGAGTTAAAGGTGAAGAAAACATCAGTGCTGCCCCAACGGGCTGGGGTGACAGGCTCCCCATATTCAAGGGTGAGCGTTGACGACCATTGGAAAAGCACCAGAAATGATGTCTAAGCCGAGACCCAGAGTGTGTGTGTGTGTGTGACAGAAAGCAAATTCTAGGTGGAGGCAACAGCTCACATGAAGGCTCAGGATCAGCATGTGTTGGCAGCCCAGATGCTGAGTGCAGAGAGGGAGGCCCTGGCCCCTCCGTTCCCCCCATGTGCCCACAGAAAACGTGCCCACAGGTACCAATAGAGGCCTCTGGCACCTGGCCCTGTGTGTCTGCAGGGATGGTCCTTTGGCCTCAGAAGGCCACTGCAGCCTGTCTGTCCTGAGTCATAATGATGTCCCTTTGTCACATACGCTCCTTTTGATCTTCCATGGGGCTTCATGGATGGGTCCCATTAGAAGTCACTATTTGCTGGAACGGATCCTGAAGTCCCTCCAGAGATTAAAGGGTTAAGCGTGTGAGAACTCAGGTGGGAAATCATCACTGGGACTCTAATTACATTTATCAGACTAAAATAAATAAGCTGTTTTCCATTCCACTGCCAAACTATTCAGTCCAGGAAGTCTTTCTGGCGGGAACCCAGGGTGACCGGCCATCCAGGTTCGCCCAGGACTGCCCTGGTTTTAGCACTGACAGTTCTGTCCCAGGAGACTCCCAGCCCAGGGAGGCCCTGATGGTTGGTCACCTGCCTGAACCCCTCCCAGTGTTTATGTCTCATCCTTCCAGACGGAGGCACAGCAGATATGGGGAAGAGTTAATCCCCTTCCAGCTGGTCCTTTTCTGTAGCTTTCCTTGTCTTCCAGGCAAATCGACAAAGGTCTGTTAAGGTACTGCGGCTACGTATTCTCTCTGTATCTGTATTGCTCATTCTGGGTCCTTCAATGTCCCTACACTGATCTTTCGACACACTCCTGACTCATGAATTCCTGGTCTCTCGCATCATCCCACATTACCATTTCCTCTTTGATCCAATATTGTACGTCTTGGAAACCCCTGGAGTCATATCTGCAGTTGAGTTTTGGTCACACCCCGTTCCTTTAAAGTGAGCAGTTCTGGCTTATTCAGACTCTGGGCGTTGCTGGCAATGTTTCCACAGCGGGTGGAGCACCACCACGGGCCCAGTTCATGGGGCGATCTCCCCAAGGAAACCAGGCACAGTTGTAGTTCGTGGCTCAGCCTATCCCCACTGAGACCAGAAACGCATGTTACTTTAACGCAGTCTCATGGATTTAAATGCCACGTGTAAACCGATGGCTTTTACAACTTGTATCTCCAGTCTGTACCTCTTCTCTGATTTCCAGACTCATACCTCCAGCTGTCTATTAAGAGCTCTGTCTGGATGTCCAGTAGGGATCTTTGAAGTATTCCAAATCAACTTTAACGTGCCCCACACGAATCCCCCGTCTCCCCAAACTGCTTCTCTTCCTGGGCTTTTCTATCTCAACAAACGGCAGATGCATCATGCCAGTAGCTCAGGTCAAAAATCTTGGCCTGTCAGCAAATCTGCTGGCTCTGCCTTCAAGATGTATCCAGGCCAACCCCTTCCCTCATTGTCACTGCTACCACCCCTGTCCAGGCCAGTCACTCTCCTGGATCACTGCAGGAGTCTCTTAACCAGTCTGTCTTCACCCTCCTGGTTTATTCTCCATGTGGCAGCTAGACCAGAGTAACCCTCTAAAAGTGTTAGGTCAGATCATGCCACCCAGAGCTCAAAACCTTTAGATGCGTTCTCCGCTCAGAGTGAAAGCCAACGTCCTTACTAATGGGCTAGGGGCTCTTCCACCGTCCATCCCTTCCTCTGCCCGTCTCTCTGGCCTCGTCTCCCGCTCCTCTCCACCACACAATTCTACTCCAGCCCCGCTGGCCTCCCCGCCATTGCTGACACTCTGGCACGCTTCCATCTGGGGCCTTGGTGCTGACTGTGTCCTCTGCCGTTGTGCTTGCCCAGGTGACCGTGATTCCCAACCTCACCCCTAGGGGTCCCTGCTCAGACATCAGGAAGGCCTCCCTAAGCGCCCTGTTTTAGGTTGCAACTCCCACCACTTAACCAGTGCCCTTCTCCTCTTCCTTGCTTTGTTTCCACATCACACATCACCATGTGACACACACACACTATCTGTCTCCTTCTGTAGAGCGTAAACGCCACGAGGGAAGGGATCCTTGTCCATTTTGTTCCTTGCTGTATCCTCAGTGTCTCTTTAAACAGTCTGACACATAGCAGGTGTTCAATAAGTATTTGTTGAATGAATGAATGAATGAATGAATGAACTTAGTCTCAGGTTAGCACAGTGGTTATGTGGTGTCGTTGTCTCAACGTGGGTTTGAAATCAGACAAACTTGGATTCAAACACTGTCCTTGCTGCCTATTGTGTGGCCCTAGGCAAGTCACAGAAGTCTGGGTTTTCTCTTCTGCAAAATGAGGTAGTAATCCTTGCCCTGCGGGGTGGTCGTAAGGGTTAGAGAGGATTTATTTAACTAGGTAGGATTAAATTAGGTAGAAATGGGCATTCACAAAGAACAGTTGTTCAATATAATTTCTGTAGTCAAGATGGGTACATGGTTGCTCGTGAGCCAGAGCCTGGAGCAGGCCGACGCCCAGCAGCGCCCCGCACGCGTCACCGGAGGACGCCGCTAGCGGGCAGTCCTGTTCTGCTCCACAGACCGTCTTGGGCACGTCAGCCTCGGAGGGTGCTGCAAGGATTAAAATTTTGAACTCTGCAGAGATGAAGCATCATGGAAACCAAAAGAGCAAGTGAGACCCTCCTGCCACTGGGTGGTCAGAGGACGTGAGGCCCCTTTTACAAATCCTCCAGGAATCGTCCCTGTAGTCCTTGATCCAGCAGGTAAAGCCCATGACAGAATTTATTTTCAGGTGCTTTTGTGAGAACAAACTTTGTTTTCTGAATGTGTCCAGCTGGGATCTGGAATCCCTAACATTCAAACGTGATAAACACACGGCCTCAGTGTGACAGTTTTGTTTTAAATGAAGGCCCCAGCGGTAGTGGCCACAGTCTCAGGGACATCACCACCACCTTTCATTTGGACGTCCTTGTCCCCAGGCAGGTGAGGAGACCCTCGTGGCACACGAATGTCAGCAAAAAGGCTGGTCAGCGGGCGAGGAGGAGGTTCTTCAGAGCTAAGCAGCTGTTACTTAGAAAAAGGGCAATTTTCCTGACAAGCATGCCTCTTTCCCCATTTTCTAAAGTAAGATTTTAAAAATTGATCATTCTCGGGGCTGGCCCTGTGGTGTAGTGGTTGTTTGGCACACTCTGCTTTGGTGGCCTGGGTTTGTGGGTTCGGATCCTGGGTGTGGACCTACACCACTCATCAGCCATGCCGTGCCAGCAACCCACATACAGAGTAGAGGAAGACTGGCACAGATGTTAGCTCAGGGACAATCTTCCTCACCAAAAAAAAGAAAAAATGATCATTTTTAGAGTTTGCAAAGTTCAGCTCTGAAGGTTATTAATGATCATTTAACGAAAATACAGTTGCACTTTTTCTGCTTTCGTGATTCACTAAAGCCAAAGTCCTGAACCCGCTTCAGCCTTGGCCCCCGCCTCACCCACGCCACCCGGCGAGGCGACTGGGCGCAGCGCTGTCAGGTCCCACACACTCCTGCGAGCTCACAGCACAGCAGCTTCATCCTGGAACTCCAGACTCCTGGTCCGGGTGGTGTATCCCCAGACAGCAAAGTCACATAAACCGTCATTTACCCTTTTGCGTGGTGGACTTCCTCGAGGAAGAACACTGACTGGCCCACCCCACATCACTGTGGACTTTATACTCACTTTCAGTCAGACAAGAACCAGCTGATGCTAATGGTTTCTCTACCTGAGAAACGGCATTTGTAAATGAGCCGTTGGCACAAACACTATTCTTGGGTCGCCTTGGGGCAAAAACTCCTGTGGGCGCCCGGCTCGTGCACTCGGGGCCAGGTTTGGCATTCCTGACACTTTGTGCCAGACAGTTCACTGTCGTGGGGGCGTCCACGCACTGAGAGATGTTCGGCAGCAGCCCTGGCCTCTACTCGTTCAGAGTGAGAAACTGACTTCCTTAAACTAGTTTTCAAGGCCTCTGTTTGTAAAATCTACAACTCTCCCACTCGTATCTGATCCCCACGGCCAGCAAGCACAACGCAGATGAGATGCGTCCCTTCCTCAAGCCTTCCCACCCCTAGGCGCACGTGCTCTCTGTGAACA